TGATTGTGCAGAAGAGAAGAGCCTCGTTGAACGATTTTGATAGGTTCAAGCTAATGTTGGCTAAAATCAAGGTATGTTACGACTCATGGCAGATTAAATTGATTTTCATGCATGCTTTCATGTGTAGGAGGATTTTACCTTTGTATGCTCTCTATAAACAATAAATGGCTTGTTTGATGTAGATTTCTTGATAATAGCCCCCCATTTGGCCCCCATTAAAATTATAACCTATTTTTCTCTCTCTTCTTATTAACTACACTTGTTCCAATAAAATAATATTGCACATAAATCCAAAACGATTTCTTCTCTTTTAACCTCACATTAGTTAATTCTTTTATTGGGAGAATGTGTATGGTTGAAAATGAGGTTTAAAGAACATGGACAAAATGGATGCTTATTTTGAACGTGGAGTTTCTCTCTCTCTTTTTGTAAAAATAAGATATCTCGCGTTTGAAAACAACGAAAATAACTGGAAGTAATTTTGGTTGCCTTTAAGCTTAGGCGAAATACGATGACTCTATACCTGATTTAATATCTAATTACTTAATATTAAGATCTAACTGCTATTATTTTGATATTGCAGAAAGCTGGTGTTGTTAGGCAGGAGCTTGCAAAGCTTAAGAAGGAGATCACAGCCTGAGAATTTTTAATTTCTTGATGTTAAGATTTTCACTTAGATTTAAAAAAATTGTTTTGATTTATCATGCAAGTTTTCTTCTACTTATTGATGACTTTATGGGCACGTGAAAAATTGTACTTTAGTTTTTTGGGATCAATTCGAAAATCTTGGTGATTTTGTCGAAAGGCAACAAGAACTCGAATTTTGGTAGTACGTCTAATATTTTGTTTTTCATTTGGCGCATTAGTCATTAAAAGTGGTGAATAAATGAGTAATATTTGTGAATTTCACTAAATATAAGAAATTATTTCCCATTAATAAAAACTACATACACTTCACAAGCTACCATCAATCCAATTATTTCTTGAGGGATCAACGTTAAACACTCGGTGTTAAAGTTACATTATGTTAATTAAGTTTGCAATCTGCTAACTAGGTAAATTCCAATTACGTACTTTTGTTCGAGTGTATTTAAATTTTATCCAATTGGGTGATTATACTCTAATTTGATTCTAACGGGTAATTTCGTGTAATTGAGTTATTTTGATTAACAAAAATCGATGACGTGATAATTAATGAATGATCATAATTTATTTCACTGAAATTGTATCTATTTCATGCTAATAACAAACGTTCAAGTGTAGTGATCATTGTTTATGGATGGTTATGTCATCGATTACAATTTGTGAGATTGGACAAAGTTACCTTTTGAAATTTAATTAAGTATAATCACATGATTGAAATCAAGTTAAAATGTAATTATCTGATTGTGCCCGATTGAACAACATTAATATACACTTACTTGATTAACACGCTAAATATTATATTTACCGTGAATTTGAGTTTACAAGTATTTTGATCATATATGTCGTATCTTACCTATATAAAAGAGAGATTAGGATTCGGCTTCCTAACAATTAGTGTGATTTTTACTCAACCTTCAATAGTGAGATTTTGGATCTCAATCTGATTAAATTCATGAATGTCATTTTTGATTCTTGCGTGATGGAAACAATTTAAAATCGCACTTGAAAGTCATTTTTAAGTCAAATGAAAGTTGCGTGTGATTTAAACCTTTCACATTGATAAGTTTCATTATGCAGGGAATCATATTCAAATAAGTAAATAGGTTGGGAACTCAAAACATCTCTTTTAAATGTTTGAGAGCCAAATCACACTTATTAAGAGGTTATGGTGTAAAGCTAGGGATGACAATGAGTTGAGTCAAACCAACCAATGTATCCAAATTTTAGTCTTGGCTCGACTAAGCTCAGACATATTGACACACGAGCTGAGCTTGTCTTGTCGTCCAAAAGAAGGGGTGGACATTTTTTTCCAAAATCGATGGAACCAGACTAGAACCAAACAGAATCTGTTGGTTTGGTCAAGTTCCTCTACATAATGGGTTAATTTTGAGACCATACATCGAGAATCGATTAATTTTGATCAGGTTCTTGGTACTGCTTTGAGAACCAACGGTGAACTTGATTATCTCGAATTCCTCTTTTTGCTTGCAGCAAGATGCACTAGATATTTGAACACTAGACTTGAAAATTATCTCTCGAGTTAAAATTTCATTTTTTCATACGTTTCTTCTTTTCTCCTTTAATGGGTAATCAAAATTAAAATCTAAATACTTTTATAAATAATTTAAGAATTCATAGTTTTAATGCAACTCAATAGAAAAAAAAATATTTTTAGTTCAATATTTCATAAGAATTCAAATTTTTTGTTGTTTTCAAAGTGGTCGGCCATCAAGAATTAAGATCTTTGAAAATTACTAAAGATAATAATGTTATTGTTATGTGAATTTTCGTAAGAATTAATTTTCAATCGAGATTTTATCATTTATGATGTGTTTCTTAGGTTT